TTCACACAGCTCCAGTGACCTGTTGAAGATGAAGTGTGAAGATGGGGGCCACCTGATCAGCACACACTTTCAGGCAGGAGGGGGATCACACCATCTGGGGCTGGTGCCTTTCTGATCCTTTGTTTTTTTAAAGAGGCCATGTACATCCTTTTAACAGATCGTTAGAAGTGGGCGGCTGGAGGGAAGGGTGGTGATTGTTGGGGGAGTAGCTGCTGGATCTGAGGTGGGGAGGGTGCGGGGGGAGTGTTGTTTGTCAAACCTGCAGTAGAACACATTCAGGTCATCTGCTAGTTGACGGTCCTCCACAGCGGGGGAGATGGTTTCCTATAGCCAGTGATGCTTTTCAGGCTGCCCCACACGGATGAGGGGTCGTTGGCTGAAACCTGAGGATTCTGTACAGCCAGGCAAGGAACACACTGACAAGGGAGATCAGAGCAGCAAAGAGGAGCTATTCTGAAAAGCTGAAAGCTCTGTCCCCTCCTCTTTGGCACGATGAAGCTGCTTGAGTCTGGCTGTAAACCAGAGCTTGTTGTTGTTGTATGTGCTGAAGCCCTTTTTGGCACGCACACATCCTCACAAGAGCTAAATGTCCTGAAGATGTCCACAGGTGCACTAAATACTCTAAGCAGCTCTTCTGTGTCAAGATGAGAAAAAGGATTGACGGAGCAGGAGCGTTATGGCCCAGGTCCTTTGGAGATATCAGTGACACGGTTAACTGTGCTTAAGCCAGATAATACTGTCAAACAGGTTCACTGATAGCTTCCATGATCCCTGTTTTGTTTCCAGAATAAGTTAAAGTTGTCAGTTGTCAGAATGCCTTTCAAAATCAAAAAGCCCATCATCTGATGTTAACATTTTGATACAGCTATACAAGATGAAGAGATTCTCCTCCACAATGACAGTGTCTCAAAAGTCTCCAAAGTAGTTTTCTGTGCCATCTGGAGCTATAAGAGTGAGTCTATGCATGTAAAAAACTACAACTGAAAAACATTTCTTAAAAATTATAATAATTAAAATACCTTGATTAGTCCATTCAAGATAATGAGGCAAACAGGACATACTGCAGTATAAAAAGACGTAGGTGTACTGTACCGTCCACATGCAATCTTGGTGACCTTTGCCCCCCAGAGCTCTGCAACAAGACGAGGACGGAGTTCTTTTCTCATTGAGTTGTGTCCAAGCTGTCCATATTGACCAGAGCCAAAAGTAAACACTACTCCATCCTAAGGAAACAACCAGACAAATATGGTTTTAACTACGGGTGCACTGATGTTTCGGCCACTGAAAAGTTTTGGCCGAAAAGGCCATTTTTATTTCGGTCCAGAATAAAAACACACGCCGAAAATGCCCTGCCCTGCCCTGCCCATTCTCGCGCAGCACAGGTTAGGTTTCACTCACGCTGGAGCTGTTATATCACGCGTCTCCCC